CCCCTTGACCTGTCCGTCCTCCCTGTACTGACCTATCCCCTCCCTAACTCCCCACCTACAGTCACCCTTACTGGCTCCATCCCCGCCTCTTTGACCTGTCTGTCTCCTCTCCACCTATCTTCTCCTTTATCCATCTTCTATCCGCCTCCCCCTCTCTCCCTATTTATTTCAGAACCCCCTTCCCCTCCCCCATTTCTGAACAAGGGTCTAGGCCCGAAACGTCAGCTTTCCTGCTCGGCCTGCTGTGTTCATCCAGCTCTACACCTTGTTATCTCTGAGCCAGAAGACCTGGGTTTAAGTACCACTTGGTCCAGAGGTGAGTATAGCATAACTGTTGTTTGAAAATATATGTATTGCCTTAGGGGTTCTGTGGAGCAACAGCAATGTCCCTACCTCTGAAACAGGTTGATTAGAAAATGTCAATGTATTGTTGGGCTCTTATGGTATAGTGGCAATGTCCTTACCTCTGAGCCAGGAGACCTAGGATCAGGCCCCACCTGCTTCAGATTGATTACAGAAAACACGTATGCATATAGCCCAAGTCATCTCTTATATGGGAAATCTTCCACCAGGACGGTAAGCAGAGACAGCTTCTAGGCCTGCCTAGAGTAATGGCCTCCCAATGTGCAGTTGGTAATTTGTCACTTAAACTGACCCGAGGGAAGACTTTGACCTTTAGTTAAAGACAGATGGAGCCAGGAAACTAGCACAAATGAGCTGTTTATTTCGCTCCAATCTGCCTGATCATTCTACTGTGGGGCCCAAAAGCCAGTCAAAGTACTCAAAATATTACAGGAAATATTTATATACAAGATTAGTTTGACTTTAGTACCTAAAATGAAATCTTTCAGATTAATGTGTTTGTAGTGTAAATTAGGTACTTCAGTCCATCTTTGCCAGCCCTACTCTCATACTATTGTCTTTTTTCATGGACTTCAGATGTTTGTATGTAATAAGTCTTTCATACTCTCAACAACTATGTAAATAAACCTAACCACTTCACTCAGCAACAAATTTAAGTCTCTTCTTAGCCTTCTTTTCTTAATGCAGGTAGTTACATCATATCAATTAATTGCCATGGTTTTCTAAGAAAGGATGGTCTGCACAGATGGCACACTAATAATGGCATTTCTAATGCTTTGGAAAAGGGCATGGTAAAATCTAAGCGTTGAAACACAAATGGATGAACTTTAGCAACAGAAATAGTATCTGAAAAGACAAATAAGGAGACCAAAAAGGGATACTGATCTAACCCACTGTAGCAACAATTATGATATACTATGTGTAAATCATTCACAGAGCATTAAGTATTTCTAAAAACTGCATCACCCATAGATTAAATGCTTTGCTAATAATTTTGATTCCCATGATCTGCTTTAGTTTATGCAGTCCAATCCTACTTAGCAACATGTTTAAAAGGCAGAGAAGTTAATTCATTCTTACATCAAATGTCACATTAAAAACTGCTTGCCTATCTCAGAAAAAATTGTAGCCATGTGACAGAAAATTATACAAAGAAAATATATTTCTGAAAAATCAAAATAAAATATAAAATCAACTAACAGAAAAGAACAAACCATTGGCTAACACATTCCTTCTGTGTTCAGTACTAAAACACACTGCTTAGGTCATATCAATGTTTAGAAGTCTCTCAGGGCTCCACTTTGCTATAGCAACCGATCTATTCAGGTCCATTGGCATGCCCAACTGTTCACCCATCAAGAATTAACTTATAAGTACTCTTCAGGATTCAGTGAAATCCAAAAGATTTTTACTTGGACCAATTTGTTGTCAACCAACCAACCAATGCACAGTGATCCAATCAATCCATTGGCCACTTTGTGCTAATAAAATAAAGGGTTGGGCAGCCCCATTGTTCAGAATAATGCAGTTTTGTATAAACTAAGCGAAGCATAAAAACAGATCTTATGAAGTTAAGAAATCCCCATAACAAAATTCTTTGGCACAATAAATTAATTTCAAGGGAAAACATTACATAGTCATTGTCTCCATCAACACGGATCAGTCTTCTGACTGCTTCAAACCAACATACAAGCTGAAACTTTGATAGTGTGTTCTTCATTTCAAAATATAAAAAGTTGTTGGGTTGTATAATGCAGTACAGCTGAAGTATGAAATCAAACTTTAAGAAAATGTTAAATTTTAATTTTCCCTCAATCCATTAGCTTATTTCAACAAATTTTTCTTATGCCAATTCCAAACTCTCAATCTTTGCAATTTCATATCACATAATCTCAATTTAGGAGTTGTGGTTTAATGGTAAAAGAATGGTAAAATATCGATTTAAATTTAAATCTTTAAAATTCTACAGTAAAAGCAAACAAAGTCCAAGACAAAAGATTACTGTGTAAATAATTTCTTTATTTAACAGAACACGATGGCAATTTCACAGCTGTGGTTTACCTAGAAGGGAAGAGGAGAAGAAGAGAACCAGTTAGAATTTTTAAAAACAAATATAAATCACAAAATTTATTGGGCTTTGGACAGAAAGTAGATTGCACTGCATCTGGCAAAGATCTAGAAATCTCCTTCTTTTGTTAGGTATAATCAGTTTACACACATGCTTTTTCTTTATTTCCTTCTTTTCCTCCAAAGACTAACTTCCTTTCACAATGACAAACATTAACTAGAATAAGTTGCCTTTGCCCTTTAGGGCGCCATTAAATTTCAAATATTTTCTCCACCTCTATGCTATAAAATAAACTATTTCATGTATCATTCTAACTTGTTTGAAGACTTTGAATATACATCTCCTGCAAATGTATTAATACACATATTGCATATCAAGGATTATGAAATCTTAATGTTCAATAACTTCAGTATATTAATAGCCTGAGGGCACAAATACTGAAATTTGATTAAAATCAGTTCCACCCTGTTAAAATCGGCACAGGAATAAATCAAAACTGTACACACATTCCCAAACAGAAGAATAAAGTTACAAAAGGTCAGTGTAGCTGGAAAAAGAACCACACTATATTTTTCTAATCATTGCTTCACAGGCATCACCTGCACAAAGTATTTTGCTGCCAACTAAATTCCTGAGTCAGTTATTCATTTTGTACCAGATGGTCTGACACGCAACTGGACCAGAACATACAATTCCATGTGGTTATGAAAATTGCAAAATGGGCTTTACGTTGCCGTTAACCCCTGGTTAAGCATGTATTAAATTCTTATGGAATAAACGAAGTAAAGGTCACTTGCAGTTAGCCCTCCAGGCTCACTAACAACCACCTACCCTAGAAGCCAGTAGGTAGGATACAATATCACAACTCCAGCAATATTGCTGCCTGTGGAGAAAATATTGTGTTGCCACATGCATGAGAAGACAGTTCCTCCCTCACGCCCAAACTAACTCAAAGAACATGTTAATAAGCTAGCTACAGACTCAACTCAGTCAGCTATAATTATAGCCAGATGCAGAGTAATCCCTTCCCATTCTCTCCCACACCAACTTAGCATCTATTCCCAGAACTTTGCATGATATATTAAAAGACACCATCTGACCCAGCAAGTTTAGCTTTTATTGTGCATTTCTTATAAAACCAGCACTTGCTTTAACAATATCTCAAATTGAAACTCAGTAGTATATTCATTTAGCTTTCAACACATTTTATTTAGCCTATGTGCACTAATATCAAACCTTTCAGGGCATAGCTGTAGACATGCAGAGTTCTCCAGAAAATATGTACATTTGAGTTTCTTCATCCATCATGTATTCCAGCACTAACTTATATTCACATCAAGTTTTATTTGCAACCAGAATAACATGAGTATATGTGTTAAGCGAGAGATATGCTGCAACAAGAATAGCAACTTTAATACACCATTTACACAACCCCTCAAAAATAAAAATGAACACAGCTTACCTTTAGTTCATTTTTCTGATCATCCTGTTGATTTGGTCTTCTCTGTTACCAGCATCACCACCCTCAACAAAGTGTGTTGTCTTTTTGTTCATGCCACCACGTGGTGAAGATAGCTTGAAGGGCCATAAGAAATTGTTGGCCATTTTGAAGGTCTTTCCTACTGTGTAGATCTCATGGATCAGATCTTCAATACAGATGATGCCATATTTTCCTAAAATGTAAATAAATCGGTAATGTGCATACAGTTTTTACTTAATTGCATAATTAAAAGAGAATTGTACTACAGAGATCTGCTCTCTGCTGTCTACACCTAGTTCAAGCCATCCAAGGATGCGAGAACAGGTTGATTAGCTCCTTTGTCACAGGAACGGACAAAATGAATCACACACCTTATGAGAAGGGAAGGGTATTCAAAATGTGAATATCATTCTCCATGCAGGAGAATGCCTGCATCTTGCTAGCTCAATATTAACCGTATACATCTGTAACCCTACACATCTGCGCTTCTTACAGCAATTCAGTTCTCTTGTAGATTCAACTTTTCTTCTTGTTATCTCAAAGAATGAACTATTATAATACAGAAAGATGCCCATCATATCTGCACCAACTCTCTGAATGCCATTCTTCTCCCTTCACCCCACGACACTGTACTTTGCTCCTTTTGAAATAGCAATTTATCCAAGATAATAAATTGACAAGACAATAATATTGTTTAAAATACAAGTACACATGATTTACAATATGCCCCACTTAAGAATCAAATCCAGTCATAATAATCCAGTTTTCCACTGCTTCCCTATTCCCAAAAACAGTACAACAGAAAATGCAGATTGGTTGACTACTTTACAAAAAGTCTCAGTTAGTTTATTTTAAGAAGGAAGTATGTAAATGCACCTTCAGGTGCATCAAGGGTTTACTAGATTGATATTTTGAACGAACAACTTGTCTTATGAGGAAAGGTTGGACAGACTAGATTTCTGCTAGATTTTAGAAGATGAGTGAGTTGATTAAGTATTTAAGTTCCTGAACAGTAGTAACAAGGTGAATACAGAAAGGACATTTCCTCTTGTGAACGAGCCCAGAACTGGGGGCATTGTTCGCAAACTGGAGATCACCTTTTTACCACAGAGGTCATAGTCATACAGCAGTGAAACTTGGTCCAACTATTCCACACTAAACATAATCCCAAACTAAACTAGTCCCACTTGCCTGCTCCTGGCCATATCCCTCCAAATGTTTCCTATTCACATAACTATCCAAATGTCTTCTAACCGTTGTTATTGTACCCACACCTACCATTTCCTTAGGAAGTTCATTCCACACACGAACCACTCGCTGTGTAAAAAAAATTTGCCTCTCATGTCTTCTTTAAATCCCTATCCTCTCACCTTAAAAATGCACCTCCTAGTCTTAAAATCCCCCACCCGAGGGAAAAGACAACTACCATTAACTCTACCTATACCTTTCAAATTCCTATGTTCCAGTGAAAGAAGCCCCAGCCTATCCAGCCTCTCTTTATAACTCAAACCTTCCATACTCAGCAACATCCTGGTAAATCTCTTCTGAACCCTATCCAGCTTGATAATATCCTTCCTATAACTGGGCGACCAGAAATGAACTGCAGAGACAATTCTTCTCACACAGGTTAGAGTGAACTTGGAACTCCCTTCCTTATAAGGTGGGATCATTGAATATCTTAAGATGAAATTTGTTACTTGTTAGCTAAGGGGATGGAAAATTGGAATTCAAAAGATGAACAATTCAGCCACTCTAATGAATGGCAGACAGGACTCAAACAGACCAAATGGCTTACTTCTGTTCATAATTCATACGTTCAGTCCGCAAGCATGTCCCCAAACTTCCTTTTAATTTTAAGTATTCCTGTCATACCGACCTCTATGTCCTTGGTCCCCTGCAGTTTTCCAACGAAATTCACAATAACCTTAAGAAACAGCACTTCTATTTGTTTGGTTAGGTGCTTTATGGTCTTCTCGACAACAATTTACAGCCCTAACCCCTGTCCTTTTCTTTGCAGGTGAGAGTTTGTTTTTTTTGTGTTCACCTTTGCAGTGGCTGTTCAGCATTTCATCATTCATATCTCACCAACAAGGTTCTGTCTGTCCATGTCCAATTACCATTCCCTTTTGCCCTACACCAAATTTTTAAAATAATATTTTCTGTCTTCCACTCTATCTATCTCCCATATTCATTTGCATGAAACCAACTACATTCTCGATTGCCAGAGTATGTAAGTCTTACTACAATTGTACAAGGCATTGGTAAAACCACATCTAGGGTACTGTGTCAGATAGTAGGAACTGCAGATGCTGGAGAATCCGAGACAACAAGGTGCAGGGCTGGATGAACACAGCAGGCCAAGCAGCATCATAGGAGCAGAGAGGCTGACGTTTCGGGCCTAGACCCTTCATCAGAAAAGGGGGAGGGGAAGGGGGTTTTGAAATAAATAGGGAGAGAGTGGGAGGCGGATAGAAGAGGGATAGAGGAGAGGATAGGTGGAGAGGAAACAAACAGGTCGAAGAGGCGGGGATGGAGCCAGGAAAGGTGAGTGTAGGTAGGGAGTTAGGAAGGGGATAGGTCAGTCCAGGGAGGACGGACAGGTCAAGGGGGCGGGATGAGGTTGGTCGGTAGGAGATGGAGGTGCGGCTTGAGGTGGGAGGAGGGGACCGGTGGGAGGAAGAACAGGTTAGGGAGGCAGGGACGAGCTGGACTGGTTTTGGGATGCGGTAGGGGGAGGGGAGATTTTGAAACTTGTGAAATCCACATTGATACCATTGGGCTGCAGGGTTCCCAAGCGGAATATGAGTTGCTGTTCCTGCAACCTTCGGGTGGCATCGTTGTGGCACTGCAGGAGGCCCAGGATGGACATGTCGTCTGAGGAATGGGAGGGGGAGTTGAAATGGTTCGCGACTGGGAGGTGCAGTTGTTTATTGCGAACCGAGCGCAGGTGTTCTGCAAAGCGGTCCCCGAGTCTCCGCCTGGTTTCCCCGATGTAGAGGAAGCCACACCGGGTACAGCGGATGCAGTATACCACATTGGCAGATGTGCAGGTGAACATCTGCTTGATGTGGAAAGTCTTCTTGGGGCCTGGGATGGGGGTGAGGGAGGAGGTATGGGGGCAGGTGTAGCACTTCCTGCGGTTGCAGGG